GGTCCTCCGGAGGACCTGTCCTGCCGTTTTGGACACAGCCTTTGTATGTATGGATCACTTGGGTTGTTACCGACATCTGGTGAAAATTTCATGTCATTAGCACCTCTAGTAATATATTTACAGAGAAAAATGGTGACGTGTTCAATACTTATTTTACTCGCTGTAATTTGGAGTGAGCCCTGGTACCAACTCCAAATTAAAAGCCATGTTCCATTCAACAGGGGAGGTCAGAGACAGCCTGTGAAGTGGGCATCCCAAAGACGACCACCCTGAAAACATCGTTTCCTCACCCTGTCAGCACTTAGGTCCTGTAAGCTGTCTTCTACAGATTTGCAGTTATGCTGGACGATATGGCAGACGGCCTGTTGTGGCTGTGTATGGTTCTTCCACATGCTACTGAATGAAGATATTGTTAAACAGGCAATATATGTCTTATTTCTTTAAACCTCAATCATGCAGTCCACCAAATATCAAACAAGCCAACGGCAGAAAAAGCTGTTTGGAAATGGCAGAGAGGATTTCGCACAATTGTCATGTGCGCAACAGTCATACCCAGCTCTACTGCTCATGAAGTGTTGAGGTGAGCTCTGTTTCAGTCAATGTAAACAAAAAATGTGCTGTTCTACAAATTCAAGTTTATACCAAGGATGTAAACGCACAAGTATTAAAATGTAAAAACAAAATAAAATAAAATAAAATAAAAGTTTGCATTCAAACAAATAAACTAAGCCAGTTACATACAGTTTGGGTGATTTGCCTTTTTTTCTTGATAATAGACTTTGTCAAAAAAAAAAAAAGTACAAGAAAAAAAAAGATAGATTAAATGCAAGTGTCTTACATAATAATGAATGAACAGGATAAAATATCATGATGCAGGGAGGTCACTGTCCTCATATGCTCTCTCAGGAGGTTAAATACCTGATATTTTGCAATGTGTGAAACTTTTATTAAAACTTTTAGTAGTATAAAGTACTTAAATACTGTGCAGTCCACCAATGGAGCAAGGGTGATTGAGATTTTCTGTGTAGGATACACAAACATACATGATTAACTGTAAAAATGTGTGTTCACTTACTAAAATGCTAACATATGTTTCTGAATCAGATCTCAGACTGCTGCTGAGTGTGGGCTTGATGTGAACCACTCATTTTCTGTCAGTTTGACAGGCGCTGAGGCACAAGCACAACAACAGATCAGGTGTAAAAAGTTTCATCTCTCACAGACACTGAACACACTTAGACTGATGAATCCTGAGACTGGATCACAGAAACTGTCAAAATGAAACCAGTCAGACTGCCTCTGTTTGTGGACGAGCAGTTCCACTCGGACAGAGAAGCTTCTTGTTCTCAAACAGAACTTTTAAAAAAGTTGTTCCTCCTACCTGTAGATTTGTTGGCTCCATGTGGAGTCTGGATTTAAAAGAGCAGATTCACCTCCTGATTTCCACAAGACGGGTTTTTGGTTCAGTCTGAGCTCAGTTCCTGTTTACGTCTCCCTCCTCCCTCAGATGTGACACACGAGTTGGAAACCAGTCCGCCCCGTCAGAGGAATGGCAACCATGCAGCCAGTGAGTCACACTTTTATTGTTGCTCTGCAAGTTACAAAGGTTGCTGAGCGAAACACGTAAAGTCCCTTGGAAATGGTTTTGTTTGTTTTCCCCCAGAAATCCAGATTTGCTTTCAGTTGGATTAATTTAAGTCAGCTGCTTGAGCATAAAATTAGATAGAAAATCACTTTTAAATGTTAGCAAATGAAAATGTATTAATATGGAAGCCCATTTCTGACCCTCTAAAAAAACCCTCTAAGTCATAAAGAACAGATACTAAGTGAGAGAGAGGGAACTAGGGGTGTGTAGGGTGCTGCAGTGCACCCTGTTGTCAGAGGACATGCATGTCCAAATACATGAATATAACTAATGCAATTTTTTTTGTTTTACTGTAGCATATGTTTAAATTCCAATATTATTTTGACATAAAATTTTGTGAATCTGGTAGAAACACTGTTATTGTTTATGTAAAACTTTACAACCATTTAAAATTGTGACTTAGTATCTGAACGTTATGAGCTATTAGGTCCTAACTGAGATAGCATGTTATAAATATCTTGGATCTCAGTTTTAAGGTCATGATTACAGTGTGAACACAGTTTCACAACACATATTATAGTGAATCAGTATCTCATATTTATATTATATTTACATGGAAACGCTAAGCCAAGGTTTAATTTTGGGATAGCATCTCACTTAGTCATGGGACTGCATTTCAGTTTCAGGGTGCTGTGAACATGTGTGAAATTTGAATGACCTTAAACACATTTATGTGGAGTATCATAATACCAAATATTTATAGTGAAAAACAATTTGGCAGTGCATAGTCATTAAAGATGCTGTATGTATGCACAATTGCAATTGTGACCTAATGCTAATCTGCCCACATTTTTGTGTTTTTGGAAAATATCCCAAAGAAAGATAGATAGATAGATAGATAGATAGATAGATAGATAGATAGATAGATAGATAGATAGATAGATAGATAGATAGATAGATAGATAGATAGATAGAT